TTCATCGTGATGGTGAAGGTGATACTGTGACCTACAGCATGGTGAATGCTCCATCCTCTGCATCCACTGCTGATCCCAGCAACCTCTATTCTACTGTCAATGTTGCAATCACATAGCTCACACAGTTGGAGGAAGGACTCTTATTTAATGAAGCAGTCGAATAAAGGACTCGTATTTAATGAAAAGGACACTTTGGTTTTGACTTGAGGCAGTGTGATAGCAACATGCTAATTAAGTTATTGCTGTTTGTAGCTAGATTGCTTCACAAGGTTGTCTTAATGTTGTTTTCATGGATGTTGAGCTTAATGTTTCCAAGAGATTTAATAAAATGCTGGTTATTGGAAGAGTGCCGAGCTGAAACCCCCACAGGCAACCCGTGCCCCCCCCCCTCCCCCCCCAACCAAAGAAACATCAACACCTAAATTAAAAAATCATCGTTTTTTACAATGTTTATGAAAATACAGTTGGTTTCGTTGCTACTTTTACATGACTATGAACTGCTCAGAATCTCTAAAAGACGGCTGGGTGAACAGAGAACACAATTATTACACCAGATATTCATGTTTATGTTTCCTTTTTTAGGTTAGCACACAACTGTGTAAATAAATGTCTCTTTCTCTCTTTGTCTCTCAAGACATTTTAAACATTTCATTGTATAAAGCTGAACCAGTATTTTTCCATAACTTAAAGCAAGTATCAATATTGTGGCGAGCTCAGAAAAGGAGGAGACGGAGGTGTCGTTCGGTCTTGCTTCCGTGAGCTAGCCAGGGAGCACAGCCGTTTATTAACAATTCCAGAAAACACTGCCGCTAGCTAATGCTCAGCGCGGCCACAGCACAGCGAAAAACAACAACAACACAGGGCGCCCTCTGACCCCCGGAAGGACACACCTTTGCAGCGAGAGGGCGTCACCTGTCACCATGGCAACACAAACAAAACATCACTGTACAAACAGAACCCCGAACAGCCCCGACCCGCTACAATATCTACATGTATCCAAAAAACCATTCAGTTCTCTGTAGCTAAAATAGCAATAAAATAAAGATCTGTCTCTGTTCTGTAATCCATTTGCTTTCTTTATGGACGTATTTTGTGCTACTAAGGTCTTACTTCATTACATTGATTAGCCAAAACATTTAAACCACATTTGTAATATAGTGTAGGTTTGCTTTGTGCCTCCAAAATAGCTCTGAAATACAGCAGCATGAATATGAACATCTAAGGCGTTCTTGGCGTTCGTGGGACCAGAATGAGCATTTGAGCTGTCAGAGCTTTAGCAGCACAAATGCTCAGTCAGGCTGGGAAATTGGAGTGAAAATTTAGAAATGCATCAAAAAAACAACAACAACTCAATCCAATTTTTGTTTTAGTTATGTCTCTAAAGACACAGATGCAGCTATATTTTAAAGATATTATTATGTTAAAAATGCTTCATATGTCTATGTTAAGTTTTCATTTGAAACTGACATTATTATTTTTTTATTTAAGGGAACAAAACGGTTTTATAAAATAACATCAGGTATCAAAAGATTGTGTTTCTGATATCTGTTGTTTACTAACAACTGTAGATCTGTCTGTCAGTCTTCTGCTCACTGTCCTCAAGACCTCAAGGTACTTAAATTCCTCCACTTGGCAGCAACTTGTCCCTGACCTGGAGTGGGCACTCCACCCTTGTCCAGTGGAGAAGCACGGTCTCGGACTTAGAGTTGCTAAATCTCATTCTGGCCACTTCACACTTCATCATCTGCAAAAAGCAGAGACGAGATTCTGAGGCCACCAAAGTGGAAGCCTCAAATCAGTCAGGACTCGGTGAGATCCCACAGTGTTAAAACCACTTCTTCTTTTATGTGTTTTCTAAATATAAATGTATGTGACTCATTGTGAGAGAGTGCAAATGATAGAGCATATACATTATAAAATAGTGGAACAGACATTGAGTGTCGAAACCTTACGTCACAGGTCAAAACACGTCATGATTTTCCACACATTTCTTTACAATCTAAAGATTGTGACACTTTCTGAATCACCACACCAACTACATATGCAACTGGCTTGATCATTTAGTGATATAAAAAATGCATTTACTAAAGGGCACATAGCTCCAACAGAGGCATTAATGAAGAAAAAATATAATTCAACTGCATCTTACACAGCATTAGAAAAAAGAAACATCTGAGTGGCAGAACAAGCCTCCCAAACACAAGAGAAACGGTGATGTTAACTAATTTACACAGTAGTATATTAGTAGTAGTATTCTAAAAAGCTAAATCAATACAAAAATATAATTAAATAAAGGCAATAAAATGTGCACATTTATCAAACATGGTGTATAGCTTAGTCTTAACTCTGTCAGAGATAACTTAGAGTGTTAACCATTTATGCTTTTGATATTGTCTGCATGTTATTATAGAGTCACACCACCAGAGCTCTGATGCTTTTGCTGCCACATTCTGATGAAAATACCTCAACTTGGCCTCATCATAAAGACATTTCTAAAGATTAACAAGGATAATAACTCTAGATAATGATCATGTATAGCTAATATTAAGTAATGGCATTAAACTATCTAAACAAATCATCTCTAGGTGGGTGTTAACAAAAACTTGACTTCCTCGATAGACTGTTTTCTTCCAGATGTAACAGGACTCTTCCTGTTATTCATGGACTGAGTTTAAACCCTACAGATGAGGACATGGTGAAATCACACACTGCACCCAGAAATCAAACCACTTCTTCTTTTATATGTTTTCTAAATATGAACGCATGAGACTCACAAAACATACAGATGTTAGATGATGCATCTGGATAACAGTGGGACAGACCATGAGTTGTAAAACCTCAGTTCAGAGGTCAAGCACTGTTTAGGAGACTTTGATACCATAAAGCGTTCACTGTATGAAGAGATGTTATTGCTACATGACAGTGTCACATGTTACTGATGAGTCACAATGCTCTTGCCTACTCTGTGTAGGTGGATCCTGAAGTTTTGTGCCATCCGCTACACAGCTCCTCCCACTAGTGTCATTTGCTCTATACAGTGGGGCAAAAAAGTATTTAGTCAGCTACTGATTGTGCAAGTTCCCCCACTTAAAATGATGACAGAGGTCAGTAATTTGCACCAGAGGTACACTTCAACTGTGAGAGACAGAATGTGAAAAAAAAATCCATGAATTCACATGGTAGGATTTGTAAAGAATTTATTCGTAAATCAGGGTGGAAAATAAGTATTTGGTCACCTCAAACAAGGAAAATCTCTGGCTCTCACAGACCTGTAACGTCTTCTGTAAGAAGCTTTTCTGTCCCCCACTCGTTACCTGTATGAATGGCACCTGTTTGAACTCATCATCTGTATAAAAGACACCTGTCCACAGCCTCAAACAGTCAGACTCCAAACTCCGCCATGGCCAAGACCAAAGAGCTTTCGAAGGACACCAGGAAAAGTATTGTAGACCTGCACCAGACTGGGAAGAGTGAATCTACAATAGGCAAGCAGCTTGGTGTGAAAAAATCAACTGTGGGAGCAATCATCAGAAAATGGAAGACATACAAGACCACTGATAATCTCCCTCGATCTGGGGCTCCACGCAAGATCTCATCCCGTGGGGTCAAAATGATCATGAGAACGGTGAGCAAAGATCCCAGAACCACACGGGGGGACCTGGTGAATGACCTGCAGAGAGCTGGGACCAAAGTAACAAAGGTCACCATCAGTAACACACTACAACGGCAGGGAATCAAATCCCGCAGTGCCAGACGTGTTCCGCTGCTGAAGCCAGTGCATGTCCAGGCCCGTCTGAAGTTTGCCAGAGAGCACATGGATGATACAGCAGAGGATTGGGAGAATGTCATGTGGTCAGATGAAACCAAAGTAGAACTTTTTGGTATAAACTCAACTCGTCGTGTTTGGAGGAAGAAGAATACTGAGTTGCATCCCAAGAACACCATACCTACTGTGAAGCATGGGGGTGGAAACATCATGCTATGGGGCTGTTTTTCTGCCAAGGGGACAGGACGACTGATCCGTGTTAAGGACAGAATGAATGGGGCCATGTATCGTGAGATTTTGAGCCAAAACCTCCTTCCATCAGTGAGAACTTTGAAGATGAAACGAGGCTGGGTCTTCCAACATGACAATGATCCAAAACACACCGCCCGGGCAACAAAGGAGTGGCTCCGTAAGAAGCATTTGAAAGTCCTGGAGTGGCCTAGCCAGTCTCCAGACCTCAACCCCATAGAAAATCTGTGGCGGGAGTTGAAAGTCCGTGTTGCTCGGCGACAGCCCCAAAACATCACTGCTCTCGAGAAGATCTGCATGGAGGAATGGGCCAAAATACCAGCTACTGTGTGTGCAAACCTGGTAAAGACCTATAGTAAACGTTTGACCTCTGTTATTGCCAACAAAGGTTATGTTACAAAGTATTGAGTTGTATTTTTGTTATTGACCAAATACTTATTTTCCACCCTGATTTACGAATAAATTCTTTACAAATCCTACCATGTGGATTCATGGATTTTTTTTTTCACATTCTGTCTCTCACAGTTGAAGTGTACCTCTGGTGCAAATTACTGACCTCTGTCATCATTTTAGGTGGGGGAACTTGCACAATCGGTGGCTGACTAAATACGTTTTTGGCCCACTGTATATGTCCAGTTCTACTTTTTAACAGGTTGTTGTTTGTAAGTGCTTCTTTGTCAGTTTTACATTTATCAATAACATACCTAAAGACAGTCTGAGTATATCTGGGCCGTCCCTCCTGCTCTCCTCACACGGCTGTAAAAGAACACAACAGATTGTTCAAACTATTAAACAGGTTTTATACTGTCATATTTTCCCTCTTATACTGAACATATAAGTCATTGGTTGTTCATAATTTCCTTTTCTTCTTTTTGTTGTTCAATCTAAATAAAGAAAAAAAAGAACAAAAATAACAGAAATTGCACAAGTTATGATGAATTAGTAACACTTCACTATTCCAAGGAAACAAGTTTAAAGAGTCAACAGTTCAGAGGGTGTGACAGTCGAGATCGAGAACAAGAAAGAAGTGAGACAGAGAAGCACGATGGATGAATTCAGATGGATTCAAATGTTTTTATGTCTGATGATTCAGATTGCAGGTAAGAATATAGGAAACATTTTAAACAGAAGTAAAACTAAGTTTTGACTCTAGTGATCAAACCTTACTAATAAGGTTTGATCACTAGAATAATCATTAACCTTTACAGGTTAGCGATTATTACAATGAATAACCTTTACAGCAAATAAGAGAGCTGAGCATGCTCTGTTGTTTTAGAGGAGCATGGGACATATTTATAAACTTGTGTCTGAAATGATCTTCAGTCTGACTGTAAAAACTTCTGTATTCTAATTTATTTTTTATATTTCTCTTCAATCTTCTCAACAGTATCTGTAAATGAAACATCGATTTTTATGAAAGTTGGAGATGACGTCACTCTACTTTGTCTAAATGTGATAGATGAGCAGAATAACTGTGATGGGACTACGTGGATCTTTACTTCAACAAACAAACCAACAACAGTAGAGCTGATCACACTTGGACAGATTGGTGAAGAAGCCAAAACTCAATCAGACAGACTGAGTGTTACAGCGAACTGTTCTCTGCTTATAAAGAAGCTCACAGTCGAGGATGTTGGTCTTTATTACTGTCAACAATACAAAGTCAAAGAAACACCATCTCAACACACTCTGGTTCATCAGTCTTTTGTTCATGTCGCTGTTATTACCTGTGAGTATTTACATCAAAATGTTTTCAGCTCAAACTGTCTTAATAGCATTGATTAGGATAATTTTTTCTGATTTACTCTGTTTTTCTCTCCTTATAGTTCTTTTTTTTTTCATTTTTCTCTCATTATATTCACCAGTGACTGAACATAAGGACATTGATAAGGGGACGCTAAACTGCTCTGTGCTGACACATGGAGAGTGTCATCAGACAGTGATGTGGCAAATTAAAGGTAAAGATGTAGACAAAAATAACAACCAAACAGTGACTTCACACACTGTTTGCTCCACCACGGTGTCCATTCCAGAGTCAAACTTTCTTTACTCATCAAGATATAACATACTGGCATGTGAAGTGACTGACACTAAAACAGGAAAAGTGCAGCTGTTTACCTTCACTTCTCAGCTCACAGGTGAAGAAACAGGTGAGTTTATGATCAACTGTTTAACCTCCTAAGACCCGAACTCATTCACGGCATGCATTTTTAATTTCTCTTTGATATTTGGGCATATTGGGACCTGATGAATGTAAAAACAAAGAATTACCAGATTTTTTATTTTTTTTTTACCTAATTTTTGTTTCTAGGAAAATGAGAGTCGCATATGAGGATTTGTTTAAAATTTTGATATAACAGTAACGGTATAATGTCCTCGTAAGTGGATATCAGGCCCTTGTAGAGCAAAATTGAGTATTTTGGTCTAAATAACCCAAAATGTGGTGTCCACATATGTGGATGCCAGGTCCTAGGAGGTTAATGTGATTAAAATCACATACACATATATTTGACTGATTTTAAGTTTCTTTTTACCACAATGTTTTCAATGTTTTTTTTCTTATATTTATAACACAAAAACGTTTAGTTGTGTCTTTTTTTAAATTATATTATACATTTATTCAGGTGACACAAAATCAACGAAGACACCATCCAGAAAAACTGAAAGCAACACAAATTCAGAAACAACCACAACAATAATAATTCACAAGGTAGTCACCCATAAATATATTCTTTTATCATCATCAGTAATCCTTCTTTTATTCATTATTTTTCTGACACTTAATAATTTAGATTAAAATGTGCCAGACTTGATAAATGAAGAACCTAAACAAGCACTACATGAGGAGAAAAACTGAAAAAAAATATTTCATGAGGTGCAAAAACTTATTATGCAATCACAAACTTTAGATGTTTTTAAGTGCTTGGCATTTATCAACAAAAACAATAGCATCTGAATATTTTAAAATACTTTCAAGGGGTTAGGTAAACATTTGGATCTTTAAAAAGACCGAATTTAAAAGGAACAGAAAACTTTAAACAAATTATTTAATGTTAAGAAATAGAGAGACATTTTTAATGTGTATCTGCTCATTAGATTGTTTTATGTACTTTAATGATGAAGGCTTGTAGAGCAAGGCCACTTTTGACTCACAAACTAAGTGCTCAGCCAAACTGAAAAACAGGAAGTTTTAGTGCACAGGCATATTAATAGATAAGACACAGAAAAGAGGAATTTTGCCATATAAGCAATGTTTGAAACTGTGTGATGTGCAAAGTACAGAAATAACACCATATAAGACATATGTGGAGCTAAAAATGTTAGAGATCCTGCAACTGGCGTTTGGGCTGTGCAGAGGTCTCTCTCTTTCAGAAGATGATTGAATAAAAAGAAATATAAATGTTTTAACACACTATGAGTCAGTTTTCTCTGTTCTATCATGGGGACAAAAGAATCGGGGTTAAATTTAATAAGTTGACATTTTTATTCTTTTTTTCAGATTCTTCTGTATCTTTGCGGTCCATTATTGTCTCTGTGGGGTTAGCAGCAACTTTAATAACTGCTGTGTCAGTCAACATATGGACAAGAACTAAAGGCAAATTTAATAATGAGAACTTTGAATGATTTAGAAATTTTATTTTAGACTGAAATTGACTTCCTTTTCTCATTTTAGGGAACACGACCAAGATGGATAAAACAGTAAGTAAAAAAAACATAGTAATCCAACATAAAAGTCAAAAGTCCTAAAGGTTGTTTTGTGACATTTGTTATTTACTAATAGCTGTAGTTCATGATGTTCATGAGATTATTATAAATTTCTTGAGTTAAATGTGGTACAGCAGAGGATTCACAAGTTGTGTTTCCTTATATTTAAAACTAGAGGGTTGTTGGTTAGAACGCCAGTGAATCTGCATGTGAGAGTTCATTTTGGGAAAGTTATTGATGCTCTCTTCTCCTTATAAATTTTTACTAAAGCTATATTTATCTCACAGCTGTGGTAGAATAGTTAAGCTGGACCCAGCAGCTGACAAACTTAAAGCAGACCGGCAGGTGGCAGAGCAAAAGAAGTTAAAATAGATATGACAACTAAACAAACACGGCTGTACAGCGGTAACAAAAACTCAAAAACACAGACACAAATGAGACATGACAAACTAACCTTCAAAATAAAACAAGAAGTAACCTGATGAAAAGCCAACTGAAAATAAGACATGCAGACAGACAAATAAAAAACCAGAGACAATACAGAAGCCATTAAAATGCACTTGTCTTAACTCACATTACGAAATGTTTTATTTTGTTTGTTTGTGTCCCACAGATACATTATGATCAAGATGAAGATGATGTTACAATTAACTATGAAAACATCGGGGTTTCTGCTGCTTCAGTCAGATTCAACTGATCAACTTGGCTTTTATATTACCAGTATCATCTCATCCAGTTTTATAGATTAAATAGTATAAAATAGAGAAGTTTATTCAATGTAAGTCGTTCCCATTAAGTTGATTCAGCTCATCTGCGTGTTTTGTTTTCAGTGGGTGAAATGTGTCATCATTCATCCTTCTTTACTCTTCTTCAGTCACTCGGATATTTGACAAAACATGTTCCCCTCAAACCGCTATGATCTGATTGAGCATGTATCAAGACCATATACATAGTTGTTTTGTGTTTCAATATTATGATTATGGATTTATATTATGGATATTCAGGTCTTGAACTTGTATGAGTTTTATTACATCCTGTTCAGACCTTCACTCGCATCTTTGATTGAATAGACTTAGAAGAAGAGGAGTCGAGGATGCACAAACCGAGAAATAGGTAGCCAATAAACAAGTTTCACAATTAACTCTCTTCTATGTATACCTATTCTCTAGCTCCACTCTAAACCTATCTACCCATTTGACCTACTTGACCACAGTTTCTCTTTTACATTCGTTAATAAACCACATAAAGACTGTTTCTGTGCACGTGGATCTTTTTTATGCTCTCCTAATATATTTGTGACACAATACTTCATGGTTCTGTAAATTACTGAAATGAAACAAGCTGAGACTTGAGGTGAGAGAACAGGAAGTTGTGTGGTGAGAGAGGCTGACAGAGAGACTAGCAGCTGGAGGTGGCTGAAGTACAGACATTCCTTATTTAAATCAAAGTGCAGATACATGTGTTATAGAACATCCTGGCAAATGTTGAAGTACTGACTCAACTTCTTTTAATCAAGTTAAATGGAAAAGGTGCAGCATTTTAAATGTACTCAGCAAACAGTAGCTGAAAAGTAGTTTGCTTACATTTCTACCAGCTATAATAAAATAATAATAGAAACGGGAATACAGTTAAAGGGAAAAATGAGGACAGCCATTTGGTTAAAGTGGGATTTGGCACATTGGGAAAATCTAGTACTAGTTGTAGAGGCTCAGTGTGAAGTAAAAGAATGACTCACAACTCCAGTAATCTTCTTTGTATAGGCTATTTATCCTGCACTAAACTGCTGATTGTTTTCAGGCAACCTTTAAATAAAAGTTAGTTTAACTCACTTTACATTTAAATATAACCATTGTTCTTTCTCTCCTTTCCAGTCTTTCTTACATCTTTCTCCATCTCTAAGTGAAGTGCTCTCTCCTTCAGGGAAATACAGCAGCTGTACCTTATCATTTCTCTTTATGGTAATTTCCCTTTATTCGAAATATCTTCATGAATTTCCCTTATATGGGTACATTATGAGCAAACCCACTCCAGGTTTACCACAGAAAACTGTCACAGGGCCACAAAGGTTAAAAGCGATGTGGGGCCTGCATGGCCTAACCTTCAGTGTGGGGGGGAGGGAATTTTGTGGGTTAGGCAGCTTTTGGAGCACCAAGGTGAAAAACTACTAGGGGGCCTGTTTTAGTCCACTGACCTGGGCCAACGTGGGGTGTAGGTTTGCCTTTCCCAACCTACCCCACAGGGCACAGTTTCATTCTGTTTGAAGATTGGTAGAGATAATTTACTGATATGATCAGTGCTAACCATGTTTTTTTTTTACGGTCTCGCACCTCTAGAGCTTTGCTGCTGTTGTAACCACATTCACACAAATCGCTTCCGCTTCCCTTCTCTGAAATGAAGTACCTCAGATTAACAATAAAGAATACACGAGTCTCAGACCACTAAAATAATTTATCTTGGTTTTACCTTGGTTAAAAGAGGACCTAAATGCAGGACTTCTGAATAAAGACAGTGGATTTATTTACAATGAAAAAAGACCAAAAAGCAGTGGCAACAATCCACAGTGTGTGTGTTCTTCACGCACCCCTGCCCAATTCCTGTGCGGTGATTGTCCTCTAAGGTCCGTGGTGTTTCTCCTCCTCGGTGATATGTACATTAGTGTTCTGATCCCTCCACATGTTTCTGCAATTCTCCTGGAAACAAGAGATGCAACAGTGAGTACATTCCCATCCACCGGCCGACAAAAACACCTTCACCATTCAGAAAGGAGAGTCACTGAAAAACACGATCATATGTGCTGGAGAACTAACTGTGTTCTTAGTGTAACACGTACGCCACTGCTGTCACACACACAAATGTGTACAAAGGGAAACAAGGGACCAGGAGCATATTACGCCAACAAACAACCATAAATGATCCAGAAAGACAAATAGAAGTCATAATATTCAATACACCCAAAAATAACACATGAGCACTGGGCCCCCAGACCCAGGCCCATGACATCTTCAGCTCTGTGTTCTTTGTGTTTTCTAAAATAAGCAGAAAGAGGGACCGCATTATCACAAATATTTATCTTAACTTACAATCTTCACACATTCATCTTGTTCAGTCTTCTCTGCAGAGTGTCAATTATGTCATTGTCACAAATACACTCTGGCAATGTACACAATGAGTATCTGGTAAATGTTAATATAATTTATCTTTATAATAATTTCACTTTATAAAAAACACCTTCGTGTATTTCAGAGATGTAAAAAGATGATATAGTCCATCTATAAAACATAACATCAAAAGAAAATATAAAATAATATTGCTACTGTCACGGACCCGGTTCCGGGGACTTGGGGTTCGTGAACAGTGTGGACCTTTATTGTTATTTGTGTATTGGATGTATGTTTGCTGCACTGTGCTCTTGTGTTCCATGCTGGTGTGTGTGGGTGTGTGTGGCTGGAGGATGAAGGACAGCCACCTGCAGGCCTGATGGGTGTGGCCCTGCCAGCTGCTGGTCACGCCTAGCTTCCCACACACCTGCTTCTGATCAGGATCGTCGGGGGAGCTACTTAACAGAGCGATGGAGCTTCCTCCGGCGCAGGATCGTTGAGTTAGACTCCACGTCAGTGTCTCTAGTGTTGTTAAGTGTATGCCTGCCGGAGTTGGTGCCATAACGGCTGTGTCTGTTTTTCCTCAGGAGGACAGCGGAACACAGGACTGCAAGACACACGGGGTGTGTGAAGGCACAGGGGCAGAGAGCACGGGATACCAGCACTTGGGAGAAGACACGTCACGGGAGTCGAGGGAGCACTTTGGAGAATTATTGTGTGGTGTACATTTTACCTCACTGTAAATAAAACCACTGTTCATTCCTCTAAGTCCAGCGTTTGGGTCCTTTCTCCAACACCCCCCACGGTCTGCCCCCCAGACCGTGACAGAACGATCCTGCGCCGGAGGAAGCTCCATCGCTCTGTTAAGTAGCTCCCCCGACGATCCTGATCAGAAGCAGGTGTGTGGGAAGCTAGGCGTGACCAGCAGCTGGCAGGGCCACACCCATCAGGCCTGCAGGTGGCTGTCCTTCATCCTCCAGCCACACACACCCACACACACCAGCATGGAACACAAGAGCACAGTGCAGCAAACATACATCCAATACACAAATAACAATAAAGGTCCACACTGTTCACGAACCCCGAGTCCCCGGAACCGGGTCCGTGACAGCTAAGGGCTGTGGTCAGGAAGTGTCAGTAATGACAGGAAGTACAAACAGTCTTAAAGATGCATCAGTTCAGAGACGGTGACAGTTGAGATCGAGAATAAGAAAGAAGTGAGACAGAGAAGCACGATGGATGATTTCAGATGGATTCAAATGTTTTTATGTCTGATGCTGATGATTCAAATTGCAGGTAAGAATATAGGAAACATTTAAATAGCAGTCAAACTAAATATTATCTATATTATTACAATATCAAAATTTTATCATAAACCTTTACCTAAAATGATCTTCACTCTGAAAAGTGCTATATTCTAATCTATTTTTGATTTCTCTCTTCAATTTTTACAATAGTATCAGAAAATGATACCTCAACGTTTATAAAAGTTGGAGATGACGTCACTCTGCCTTGTCTAAATGTGATAGATCAGCAGAATAACTGTGATGGCACCACTTGGGTCTTTGGTTCAAGAAACAAAACAACAGTAGAGCTGATCAGACTTGGACGGATTGGCGAAACTAAATCAGACAGACTGAGTGTTACAGCGAACTGCTCTCTGGTTCTAAAGAACATCACAGTTGAGGATGTTGGTGGTTATTACTGTATACAATACAAATCCGAAGAAGCACAAGTTGAGGATGCTAGGGAACGTGAGTCACTGGTTGTTCTCTCTGTCATTACTGGTGAGTATTTACATCAAAATATTTTTTCAACTTAAACTAGAATATTAAACAGATTTATTATATTAGACAGATTTAACACCGTTTGTGAAACTGGATTTAAGAAATACGTGTTTTAGTTGGGTAAAGCTTTTAGAACATGTTCAGCGACATCTTGTGCCAGTACAGAAGCTGATGTCACCTGGTTGGTTGCTCCAAATTCATTTTTGTTAGCTAACTAGTAACAGGACCAGTAACTCGGTGTAAAACAAGGACACTAAAATTGAAAAGCAGTCTAAGGTGATCACTGTTGCGCTGACCTGGCAGCAACACATCCACTCAATTAGTCTCTTTAGCAGTAAGTGCTTTTTTGTTGTTTGGCTAGCTGCAGTGAAATGGAAAATCCACCTGTTAGCTGTAATGTTCAGGGTTCAGTGTGTAGAAGAGCCTGTTTGAGTCAGGTGACAGGTGTTTAACCGGACTGACAAGCTAAAATCAGAAACTTTGACTAACCACCACAAGCAGTTTGAGTCACAAAACGCAATCAGGACTATTTTATGCAATAAAATTGTGTTTATTTTCCCAAGCACACCCAAACAGGTACAATATTATATGCAGCATCACAGTCCAAACGTAACTAGGTTTATTACATTTATTGCACTGGCACAAAATGGTGCTAAACTAAACTAAAATGTTCTAAACACTTAAAATTTAAACATGCTTTTCTTAAATCCAGCTTCACAGACACTGTTAAATCTGTGTCAGTTTATGAGAGTAGGTCTCCATAGTGTAAATTAGCCTTTAGACATGTAGAGTACATGTCATGATCGGAGGCAATAAGACGCAGGGTTCTCAAGCACGAACCGCTTTTTATTGAATTGTAGCAGCAGTGTACGTGGCTACATCAATTTCTGGAAAACACATATACACACCCGTATTCTAGCAACCTCTAGTGGCTAGCCTTACTAGGACAACATAAACAGATTTCACAACATCTCCCCCTTTAACAAAAGTACTTTAAACATAAAACAGTGTTGTCAGAACGCAGGACATCACAGGGGTAGACTACCCTCAGTCCTGATAAGGGATTATTCTGCCCTTAGAACATAGAAAGGAGATAGTCCTCAGTCTCTGAATCTGAGAGGTACTTTAATCTCCCGCCCCCTGGAAGTCACTCTCACAGGTGTGGTAGGGTGGAGAGGAGACCCCGGGACAGGGATTGGCAATGTCTGCCTTACTGGTGGTTCTTGGGAAGCGGCCGCCCCTTTAGTTGGAGTAGTCGGTGTAGCTGGAACAGTGCTCTGCTGCTGCTCCTCAGGATCAGCGGTGCCTGGGACAGGCTGAAGGTGTCGTCTGTTGCGGCGAGTCACGTTCCCATTCGCCATCTCCACCAAGTAGGATCTCGGCTCCTTAGACTTACTGATGACCTTGGCTGGAGTCGTCCACCCCTTTTCCCCGTCAAGCTTCACTACAACATCCTGGCCTGGGAGAAGCTCAGGAAGTGGACGAGCTGAATGTCTGCGGTTGTAGAAGAATCTGTAAGAGTCCTTAGCTGCAGCATCTCTTTGGCACACTGTGTCCCTATTGACTGGACTGGGCAGCAATGTCTTTTCGAGTACTGGGACGGTGGTGCGGATTTGACGTCCTGTCATAAGTTGAGCTGGGCTTGCACCGGTTGCTGCAATTGGTGTAGAGCGGTAACTCATTAAGGCTAAGCAGGGGTCAGGCTGTTTGAGAATGTACTTGGCCGTTTGGACAGCTCTTTCAGCAGCTCCATTTGACTGGGGGTAATGAGGGCTCGACGTAGTGTGGGTGAAGCCATAACTCAGTTTGAAGTCTTGGAACTCTGATGATGTGAACTGCGTCCCATTATCACTGACCAGTTCTAACGGGATGCCCCATCTAACGAACATGTGTTTAAGCTTGTTAATGACCTGTCTGCTGGTTGTTGTAGTGAGGGAAGCAATCTCAATGTCTCTTGAAAAATAGTCAACAACGACAAGAAAGTTCTTACCCTCAAGCTCGCAAAGATCAGCTGCAATCCTTTGCCAGGGGCCATTGGGCAGAGGAGTAGTCACGAGAGGTTCCCGTCGCTGTGTAGGCTTGTGCTCTCTGCAAAAGTTGCATGACCTCACCTTATGTGTTATTTGAAGTCCAATGTTGGGCCACCACACTGTTGATCTTGCGCGCTCTCTACATTTAGTTAGTCCTTGGTGGCCTTCATGTAATTGGTCAA